GTATTAGGGCCACTCTTCGGTAGATTCGGTTTGAGATCACGCACATGTTTTGGGAGAAGAACCATCTTGCTGACTTTCTTGCAGGCATCGGGTCCTCCACCCCTAGAGGCGCATACTTTATCCTGACAATATTCCTCTCCGCCTTCGTACCCTTATAGGGATGGACTAGATGGGATACCCATCATTCAAATTTGTGTAGCCGCTTCTACCTTTGGTGTATCTGCTTTTTGCTGTCCCGTGATGCTGTTTTTTGCCTGGGCCCTTCCGGACCAGGAGACGTTATCTCTGTATTATTGGCAGTTGTTGCCAACCTTTTCCATGTTTTCTTTTTCGTTTTTGGTTTGGCTCTTCTTTTGACTTGATGTATTCCAGACATTGTACTTGCAGATTGTGACTTTTTATTTAGCCCATTTAGGGCCTTTTTATATATACAGGTTGGGGGTACAGTCTAATCCCCACCCTCCTGGGTGTTTGTTTAAAAAAAATAACTATTTTTTTCTTATCGTTATGTTAGGTTTGCCATGGATAATTCACTCAAAATATTACCAAGAAATTTGAACTTACAAAAGGATGTGAACAAACGCACTCAAAGCCATGACAAACTTCATGGGCACTAGGATATGTGAACCATCACAGGATGAAACAGCGATGAAGATGAAGATCGAGTATCCGCTCAACTCGATTTGCTTCGTAGGGCGCGCAATAAGCCTTCTTTCTAGGTGATAAATGTGTAGCCAACGCGCCTAGGCTTTCTTCTACACGGTTTGTATGCTAAAGTTAGAAAAAAACCTTAACACCAAGAGTTTGATCCAAGGATCGGTTTTTGTATTAACTTGATTGATTTATTAACTTGTACAAAGCAATGGATATTTATAGGCTAGAAATCTCAATCCTAATAAGAATAAAATACTAGTCCTAAGGAAACTCAATATCTAACACCTAAACTCAAGAGCGCTTGGATGAGATGGCTTGGGTCTCTTCCAGCTTAACCAGTGGTCTCGTGTTCGAGCCCTGGGAATGCAGCAGTGTTAAAACTCTTGAGGGAGAGCTTTGCCGCCCTTGTGGTCCTACCCGGCTCGATTCCGGATTAGTCGGTTCCCCTGTGGATCCAGAAACCGGAAGGTCCCTGTACCAAAAAAAAATATGTAACACCTAAGACTTCCTCAAAATATAAAACTCCTAAGCTAATAAAATCTCCTAATAAATAATAAACTAACTCTCGGCCATATCCTAATAATTCCTAACATAAATATTTCACCTAACTAAACTATAACTCACGGCAACAAATATAAATCCTAACCTAAATAATTTCCTTAACTATAATCTGCCAACTCATGTAAATCACTAGAGATGTTAAACGATCCTTAGCCCGACGGGACGGCCCGTTTAGCCCGAAAAAAAATAGGGTTAGGGCTTTTTTTTAGTAGCCCGTTTAAATCAGGGCTTTAGGCCCGGACCATTTAAACCGAAGCCCGATAGGGCTAGCCCGAAGCCCGCTAGGGCTAGCCCGTTTAATTTGTATATTACAACTTCATTATTCTACTTTATATGTAACTATGAGCTGTAGCGGGTTATTATGATTTGGAAAGATAATTATTAACTATTTCATTATTTTACTTCACACCAAATTCTTTAAGTCAATTTGAACGGCTAATGAAAAATACATGAGACAAAGACTTAACACATAGAACATAGTGATAGAATATAAATTCAACAGTAAGATACAATATCGTGAAAATTTTCAAAGCGTACAAAAGTAAGTAGTAAAATGGTAATTATAAGTAATAATTCGAACATTTTTTTTTTCTTTTGATAAAAACATGTCACTTAAGAGTTTGTAATGAGTGTTCATACATGAAACGTAGTTCTATATATATACAGCGGTAAATACTAAATAGTCGTTGAAAACAATCGTGAATTAGCCGTTGTAATTTTTATTTATATGTTTTTTTATATATTATTATTATAGCCCGTTTAGCCCGAAGCCCGCTAGGGTTAGGGTTAGGTCCTTTTATTGGTAGCCCGTTTAAATCTGGGCTTTTTAGGCCCGGACCGTTTAGCCCGAAGCCCGTTAGGGCTAACCCGAAACCGTCAGTGCTAGCCCGTTCAACATCTCTATAAATCACATAGGCTAATAATATAATTAATCAAACAACCAAACTAACTAGGAATCATATTAACTAATCTAATAATATTCTTCTAGAAACTCTCGGCTTGCTCGTCAAGCCACGCCGACCCGTCTTGCATCCCAAGCAATCACATCCAGTCGGCTTGCCTTGCACGTGAAGCCCGCTGCTGGTCCATTCTCTAGGCCTACGTCCGTTAGGCGCAAGTTCACCAGTCCCATGTTTGCGACCCAAGCCTCATCGAACATCCGACCACTCGTGCCTCGCACAGTCTTCTCGCACAACCCGTAGCTGGCATATCTCGTCCTCGAGCTCACTATCCCGTGCGTGCTAGCCTGACGCCCGAACATCTTGACTAGCTCGACCCTCACTTGAGGCTCGCGTCGTCTAACCTAACAAATCTAGACCAACTGTTCGTCCTGCTCGTATTCGACCTCGCGGGCGTTGTTCGTGCTCTCCAATCCCCTCGACCCTTGCTCCTCTGGCTCGCTGCTCGACCCTCTCTCAGTGATCGACCTTCGTGCGCTCGACCCTCTTCTCGGGGTCGTTCCTCGCGTGGCGCTCGACTTTGTGGTGCTCGACGCCGTGTGCTTAACCCACGTGACTATGGATCGACCGTCTCGCGCGGTCTTATGCGTCTTCGCATGGCCTTGAGTGATCCTGCTCATCGTCCTGCAACCTCGATAGGTCGTACGTTCCTTTGCACGGTCATGTCGGGCCTTCCGACCACTCCCACATCCGTTGGCTTGACATGAGGATGTTGTGGTCATCGATCGATACGGGTCGAAGGTTATACCTTCATCACTTCCACCTGCGGGGTATCCGGATCTTGGCCATGCACGTTCACGCCAATGCGCATGTTCGCGCCCTTGCTGTCCGGCACTGTTTTGAAAAACTGCCTAGGCGGCGTCTAGGCGCTAGACGGTGCCCGGGCGCCTCCGATTTTCTCAAATCGGCGGAAAAATTCGGCCAGGCGGGCCTAGGTGGCCCTAGGCGTTCCTTGGTGGACTTAGCGGGCTTGGCGGCCAGGCAGTTAGGCGGCGCCTAAGCGGGCATAGGCGTACCTAGGCGCTCCTAGGCGGGCTCGGCGGCAAATTTTCAGATTATTTTTTTAATTTTTTTAAATAAAATTACATTATTTTGTTCTCATGTTTTCTTTAAAATATATTAATTTTATTTTTTGGACTTAGATGTATCGGTTTATTATAAGTTGAGATAGTTTTATTTTATAGGCAGTTAAAATAAACAAAAAATAAGGTATTTAATATTGATTTCTAGGCCCCGATTAGGTGCCGACTATGTCCCGACTAGGCGCCGACTAGGCCCCGCCTAGGCGCTCTAGGCGCTAGGCGTTCGTCGAGTGCCTAGCGGACGCCTAGCGACTTTTAGATCACTACTGTCGAGTCACCTCGCACAGCTGCTCGCGCTGCTGGATGCGAACCTTTTCGCGTGCCCTCGCACACCTCCGTGCGCGACCTTCGTTGGCCTGCTCCTTTGCACTTGTTGCACCTCGCATACAAGCTCGTACCCGTCGCTTCGGTCATGCTTGCGTGGATTTGGCCATTTCCCTGGCCTTCTCGGGTCGTCTCGACTCTGGCCCTTCTCGATCTCGAAAATCAAAACCTCCATTCTCATCAAACAGGCAGAGCGCCCAAAAGATCTAAACTCTTTGTGTACCATGTTGTGCCGGGCCATCGCGGATGAAAAGTGTGTCATGGGCCGTGATAGGACTGAGCACTCATCCATGGGCACCCGTGTTTTCTTAGAAGTGGGCACCCCAGCAGGGAGTTTCAGCAAACTGTCCCCAGCGGGCTGGCACAATCCTGCATGCTTTCCAAGCTTGGGGCGCGCCTTAGTAGCCAGCGACCATCAATTGCAGCTACTAGAGGGCACTCGAGTGCTTGCTAGCAAGAGTGCTCACCTGAGCTTAATTGCACCTAAATGCAACTAACTTTGATCTTTGAGCTATTTAAGCTTAATATATTTCTCATGTTTTAGTTTATTTCTAATATATAGTTAATTAATCCTTTATTTATCTTAGTAGTATTAAAATATTTCCATATTTTCCACTTAAAGAATTGAGCTTCAATACGACCAGTTTTAATTAGTTGGTTCATTGGGATGCCTCAAGTAATGTTGATCCGATGATAAAGATATCCGCTACATTCATTACACTGCCAACATGACCAACCAGATTAATTTCATCCATTAATTTATTTTCTGTTTTGCATGTGCAACGACCACAGGATTTCCAGATTTCTATCCCATGACGTGCTTTAGAATTTAGTTGGCAAATTACCCTCACCAAACGGTGGTTGCTGATTAAACGGATATTGCAAGAAATTCATGTAATGATATAACTCTGAAATATCTTCCGATCGTCTCGTGAGAACAATGGACCTATACAAAGTAGTATGCCTATGTTATCCAAATAAGTTCATTTGAAACAGTTACAACTTGATTTATGTATAGATCGATCCTGTCGTACACTGCCGTTCCCGACTATAATTTACCTGTCATATAAAAAGAAACTGAGATCAGAAGTACCCTCAACACTATATCCCTCGGATTGAGTGATGGTGTTAAACTGTGCTACAATCGACATGCATAACACTGAGTTGTATCAACTGCAGTTCATAGAATACAACACTCACCCATCAATACATGCTTGTACATTTCCAATTCCATCGTTCTTTATTACTAACATACGTACAGAAATTAAACCCCTGTCCAGTTTTCTTGTAAAATGAAAAAAGGAAAAAAAAAAATCATGCAATAATCTCCAGAGCAACATTAACCAATCACTATTGATCATCCAGTTTTTATTGATACCCACGCAACACCATATTTACTTGGGAAGCCGAACATATATGATCAACGAGGTGGCTGTGCCACCATGAGCGTGAGGCGCTCCTCCTCAGTGAGAGAGTGGCGGAAGTGGCAGCGGTGGCCGTACGGGCAGATGTCTCCGGAGAGTACCATGCGGCAGACCTCGGTCTTGTAGCGCGGGTGCCTGATCACCGGCCTCAGCTCATTGATACCATGCGCGAATTGGCAGTTGTCCCCATACGGGCATGTCCCCGTCTCCTGCCACTTGTTGCACAGCTCGGTTTTGAGCATTCCTTGGTTGTACACGTCGAGCTCTAGAGCTTCTTCTTCCTTTTTTGCCCCTGGTACATACACCCTTTGCTGCTGCTGCTGCCCGATTAAAAGGGCCCGAACAAATCCAACGTAATTACCACAATTAGTATGGTGATGTGATGTGATGTGATATTATAACAATGTACACATATTCAGAAGAATTCAGTGGCAATTGCAATGTATACTATACATACGATGACATGCAAAATCTAGCCAGTTAATTGACTTTTCAGTGACCAAGTGCTTCTGAAATTCCGCTTCTCACGTTTGCAATTGATTGATAATTGGGATACTTTTACACATAAAAGTACAAATTTGAATAAGGAATCAGGTAGTTGTTCAATCTTCGAAATGAGGAAATGAAATTGCGATTAATTGTCAAACAGATTCAATTAGAAATGGATCCGGTCTTGCATTCATAGCATTTTTCGACATGCGTGTATAGAAATGGCAAAAGTAATCAATAGCTGCAGACCGGCTCATAGAGTATGTTAAAGTAGCCTCGAATAAATACAGCTTTACCAAAACGTCTTTTCCAGTATTTGTCAAAGAGATTAATAAATTATAAAGCAATTCATAGTGCCGCACCCTGTGGAACAAGCAACGAACGAAATACTACTACAGTTGCAGACCGACTTGACTCAGAGAAGATAGGATTGACTCACTGATTTCTGGCGAGTCGTGTCGCGATTCGGCCGAGTCAGCTTCAGATAGCCTTTGGAACGCACGGAAATGCTCTTGGGAAGCGAGACCCGCTCGGTGTTCTTCCGATCGAACCGATTTGGATCAGTAATCATAGATCTGAGTTGAGGAGAAGCGGCGCGAGTAGGCGGAGCAGCGGCCGGAGGGGAGGCGAGATTGAGGCGGCTGAACTCCGACAGCAGCCGATCGCGAGAGAAGAGCAGGGCGAGGCGGCGGGAGAGATCGGCGTTCGAGAGGCGGAGCTCGTCATTCTCGCGGCGGAGGGCATCGGCCTCCTCGATCGCGTCCTGGAGCTGCGCGAGGCACAGCGTGTAGCGGTTGTAGAGCTGCTGGTACTCGAGGATGCATCTGGAGTCGCGGAGGCGGCGCTCGGAGTCCCCGCCGCCGTCGGAGATCGAGCTCGGGGAGCAACTCTGGAACAACAGCGAGGAATAGAAGGCAGCATCGGAGTTCAGGTAATCATAATCAGCCGGAGAGGAAGGAGAGAGGAACGAATTGATGCTCCGGGAGAAGCGCGGCGACGGCGCGACGGCGGTTTCGAATGAGGCTTTCTCCTTCTGCATCTCGCCGGTAGATTTTTGCAGAAGCGACTGAAGTGAAAAGCCGCGTGAGGGGTATTCAAACCAGGCGGTAGTGGAGTATATATAAAGAAGGGGAAGGAGGAAGTATCTGGTGTGTGGCGGTGCAGGAGAGTTTGTGATTGTCGCAGCGATGTCAACCTGGGAATTTAAATCGTGTCCGTTGATCTTAAGGGGGTCCACTTAATTGCTTGGAATAAAAGTGTTTTGAATTTTTTGGCGGGGGTTGAAGAAGAACATTTTGGTGGTGGGTGTTGCCAAAACCGTTACAGATCTGGTTGTTTTGGGGTGGTTGCGTTTTTCTTTTTCTTTTAATAATTTTTTTGGAAGATGCTAACGGTCCGTTACGAAATTATTTCGTCCGGGTTTATAACTGTTAGATCAGCTATTTCTGACGGTTATATGATGATCTAATGGATACAAACCCCGACGGAACCTAGCATTTCCCTAATTTTTTACATGAATCTCAGCTTCAACGAAATTCAAATTAAATAATAATAATAAAGGGTTTTATGTGATTTAATATTTCGAGAAAAATAAATAAATAAATAAAGTTGTAATTAGAGAGTTGGGGTGGTAAATTGGCGTCGCATGCACGTATGATGCGGTAAAGGATCTGCTGGCTGCCGTTGCCAACCAGAAAAAAAAA